CAGTCCCTTCACATATAACAGTCTCTGGGGGACCAAGCCTCCGCTCCCGTGATTTTCTTGAGATAACACTCTTATCTCCTATATTTCGTGTCCCGGGAGGGTTCCGTGGTATTTCTCTTCCCCCCACTGAAGCCTCCGTCTCCACAAATATCTGTCGCTAAGGTCCTTATCGTGTGTTCTTGCCACGATAAGAGGCTCCGTGTTTTTCTGTCTCTGATACAACTGTTCTTCACAATCTATATCGTGGTTCTGATTTTCGTCTTTTCTATTCAAAATGGCCGTCTTTTTTCTATTTCTCAGAAATGTTCTTCTTCCGATCGAAATTTTAAAAATAAAAATTCTAGAACATTCTGACCCTCCGTCGCAACACTTTTCTGTTCATAAGGCCTTTAGTCACTCTTTTTTCTGTCGCGGGAAGGTTATGCTGTGTCATCCGGCAGAATGGCACAATCACATGACTCCCAAATACCCCCGATCATCCAATAAAAAAAACTAGAAAGCTCATTTCTAGACTCTCAGACTTCCCCTCACCAAAAAATGCCAAAAAATCATCGATAAACAATCCAACCACACTCAAATTTTGACTCGGAAAAAAATTATTGGGCAGGATGAATCATTTCTCAAATTCTTTTCTCTCAATCAGTTCGACTCCTCAAAATAATAATTTCAAAACATTTTTCATTCCTATCAACCTTTTTTCAAACTAGTATATTTTTTTTTATCATAGACACCTTTGAAATATTTTTCCTATTCCTCCCAATTTTATGCATTTTTTTCGTAATTTTTCATTCCCTCCAGAAAGCCTATCTCAACTTCTCAAAAATCCTTGACTACCTCCTCAGGTACGATATTTCAACAACTATCTAAATGTTAAGACCGTTATTCATCAAGAAAGACATCTTTCTTCTTTTAATAATAATTGTCACCTTTCTAGTTTCCCTAATTTTGACAATATGTAAATGTGTACAAAAGGCAATAATCACCTTTGCACTGCCAACAATACTTTTATTCCTTTTCATAGAAGAATTTTATAAAGAACATAGATTTTTTTATTAAGAAAAAATAATTAAAATGTTTCAAAATTGCTAATCAATAACCAACCCAACAATCCCCCACCGACAATGACATCCCAGGAACCTCCAACAACACCAAAGTCTAGTCAAACAAATCAACTCCAATCATCAACACGTACTTCATTTCAAGAAAATCTATAAACATTTGAAGAAAGAAATACATTACTATTAGAACCTTCAATTCACGTAGTTCGCCACGCACCTCTAAGAGAACCACAATACGAACCAAGATACAATATTTATCGTTCTCTCCAACAAGATCTTAAAAGAACAAGACACCTTAGTCAAAACCAAAACCAAACATCTACAATAGATAGACAAATCATACATCCAAGACGAAATAGAAAGTTAACAACTCCCAGAGTTCATTTTAATATACCCTCATCAACATCCCCAAACCCTCTGGACCTTTCCATTAAAACAATTCAAAACACCCCTCCACCATTGCGAACGCTTTCACAACAAAACACTTCAAACATACCTTCGGATTGCTTAGGATCAACCCCCACATCCGAACAATTCCGTGAAAATCCCTTTAACCCCCCAACTTCAACACAACGTCTCCCACATTGGATGACCCAAGCCTTCTTTCAAAGTGAACCAAACTTGGTGAATGACCCTATAGAAATCTCATCCGATACATCTTTAGCACTATTAGAAACCTTATCACTAGCTTCAACCCATTGAACGATAAATCAAAATCCAACAACAACATTTCCACTAAATTTCCCTACAAATTTAGATGAAAGATATAGAAAACGTTTTACCAACAATATACCTCTACGATTAGATTGGAATACATTCAGAGCACGCCTCCCTTATTTGGTCAACATCTTGATAGCAACAGATTACATAATTGGGAACTCAACAGATTACAATACAGAGAAGATATTCATACAGACATACATGAACACAACATACAGATCCTTACACAAGACAATTTAACACTCAAATTTGAAATAACACTAAAGCTAAACATTGTGTACATCACCCTCTCCCCTTAGCTCCACCAAATATAACAGCCCAATCTTTACCTCCCCCATTTATCACACTAGAAGTTATCTATAAATACGATAGATATACATAAAAGACACTTGAATACATAACATTCTATAACCCATACTCGGGACTATTCTAGACATGTATCTTTTAGCTATTTGCTTCCTACAAACTCTCTCTCTCCACTAGTTCTTTTAGAAACAACATCCCATCAAAATCCTTCCTCTCGAACAGGATCACAACATTTATTAGTCACACATTATGACTGTGAAGAAAATGAACAAAAAACACTACATAAATACGCCATAAACCAAGTAACTCAAAGCGAATCCAAACCACAAGAAATAGAAAGATAAATATAATGGCACCCAAATATTAAACTCAAATCCGACGTAACATAGTTCTAATGACGAAAAATCATACATCCCAGTAACATTTTTGAAAAACATGGGAAAAACTGGTGGAAAGGTTTGCCCACAAGATAAAAGCAGCGCACGTTTACAAGAACTATCACTCAAGAACAATACTAATTTTGGCGCAACCCATTATGACATTAACTCAGATTTTAAATTGGGCTACACAATAAGCATAATCTTTCAAGAAGTGTCACTATCAGAATTAGAAACACTTCATCACTTATGTGAACTAGAACGAACACAAATTTTACATTCACATGCGTTCGCGGTACTAAAAATAACTTATGCACGATATTTATTATCAGGCATTAGATCAAACTTCACTGATTATGAAGGAAACATACTATGGTATTACACATGTACGAAAAAAGTATCACTACTATATGTTTTTGAAGATAGAAGATGTTAAAAAAGAATCCCTAGATTCTATAAAAATGAAGTAAATTTTGTCGACACACTTTCTGGACGAATAGATTTTTGGGATACAGCCGTCCCCTGTGGATCAAAAAATAGCCACAATGTTTTACAGCTGAACTCCAGATGAAGATAAATACTATCTTCTCACCCCATACCCTACACTTATGCCACCAATAAAGAAATTTTCAACAGAAAGTATCAGAGCTGTTGCTCGTAACCCCACTATAAATTTACAATCAATAGGTATATACTCCAGATCCGATTTAAAACATTACATTCAAATACAACAGTTTCAAGAACTCCTCACTAAAATGGATACGATACAAAGACAGTCAATAGATCAAAACTTAAGAAAACTCGCTCAAACCACAGGGCTTACAGATATCTATGTACATGACCACAGTGGATACTTTTAAGATATAAAAGGTTACATTTATTTAAACGGTGAAAAATACCGTACACAAGATATTTCTATTGATGTTTTTAGTTTTGTAAACCTGAAAAACGAACTTCTCGCCCTTCTAGGATGGCCCTATTACATCTTTAAAAGATTAACTATTTCATATGCTATGCTTAACTTTTTTGGATTTCTCTTCTCATTTTTGAAAAGAATCTATTACACATGCGCAATACAAACACAATTCAAAAAACAAGCATGTGTAGCACGCATATTGTTTGCAGGACTTTTTGGTTTTCTTTCAACCTCACTTAGAAAAAGTATCTTGGACGCTCAAACAAACGAATACAACAAAAAATTATTAACCACACCAAACGCATACCATACTCCACAAGTCAATAGAAATACAACATCTACTGCACCACAATTACACAATTTACATAATAACCATCCGTTATCTTTAGTACCACGAAGCTATAGAAATACAGCAATAACAGAGCACATCTCTTCTGGTCATAGCTACTCACAAAGCCCAGTTACTCAAATAGTAGCCCATCAGCCGAATATAGAAGACACATACGAACAAATCGTAGAACAGCATCGCACCACTAATTTACGTTCTCAGAATAACCCACGATGAAACGCCAGAAAGGATCCCTCAACCGTTCCCTTTCCTACGCATCCAATCTCTAATGTCACTCTCCTAACATATCAATCTCTGACCTCATTTCCTCTCCCTTACCATCATTATTCACTAATAGTTCACCACGCATGGATTATGATGATGATTCCACAAACACAATTTTTCATACCATCTCACAATTTAATAATTCCGATATTGACACCCAGATGAATTTCAGAATTCCGAGCCCAGCCCGTCCACTTTTTCGCAACCCCCCCCCCTTCCGTCCAGTCCAAACCCCAACTCCCGATGAACCTTCCTCAGCTCTTTTTTCCTACACCGACTCAAACCCAGTCCTCTCCCCAATGACAAGTGACCAACCCGACTCCCCTAGCCACGTCAATGAAGAACTAGAAAACGAGCCTGATAGTTTCATCACCTTACATCAATAGCTTCAAAACCCTAACACATTAACAATTAGTACGTAATAAAAGCCGTGTAACCAAATAAACCCTGTAATGAACATATTTCAGGGGGACCGATGGTTTAGCAGACCAATCTTTTAGCATAAAAAGTGAAAAATGAGTCTTTTTAGCAGACCATGTAACAAAACTGATGCATAACTGATTGACAGATTGTAAGAAAACGCTCACTCTTGGGTCAAGTTTCCCTGTTTAAGACAATTATCTCACAATTTTTCAGCAAAACTATCAACTTCAAAAACACAACAGTCTAAATTAACATCAAAACAAAGATTTACGCGCACAATAACATTCGTGTCGAAAAGAAGCGCAGCGGAGCAAGCGGTCGCTAATCGCTTATGCCGCGTTTGAAATTAGCGTTCTGACTTATTCCCAGTCTGCTAAACAACTGGTCTGCTAAAATCTCTAGCACCATATTTCAGCTCTCCCACGTGTCAGCAACTGCACGTTTCTTATCAATGAAGAAAAGTTGCTGAATACAAAAAGTGTAAAAAATGAACCTGGAGCTCTGTAAAAAAAATAGTAAAAACCTGTCCAATTGAAAGTTTAAAAACCTGTTAAATGCAATGTTTAAAATATGGCGTTTATCGTTATTTACCCTCCTCCTCCTCCCCCTCCGCCACCACCGCCTCCACGACAGTCTCTTGCAAAGTGTCCTGGACGACCACAGGAGAAGCACTCGTCACTTCGCCTATCTCCCCCTCTTCCACCACCACCACCGCCGCAGCCGCCGCCGCCTCCTCCTCCTCCCCCTCCTCCACCAGGACCTCTACGGGTGTCACGAGATCTCTCCACTTTCACACGGCAGCCGGCAATCTTCCTAGAGATTGAAACTTATGAAGAAGGTACTGAAGCTAGCAAAAACATACACAGAGGCGAACCGCAGCTTCGCACCACTTGCGATACAAGACAAACATAAAAAAAACAAGATGAAAAAAAATTTGATGTTGAAAAAACCTAGTCACAATCAATTCCCTAGTCACAATCAATTAACTGGTCACAATCAATTCCCTCCTCCGAATCCTCCAACCCAGCCTCCACAATTGAAGAAACTCCAGCCCACCGGGTATTCAAACGAAAGCATCCCAATACACAAATACTCCGCCACCCGACCACCTGGACTGTTTTTTTTCACCCACTCCACACAAAAATTAAAGAAATTTTGCAATATAGCTTACCATTCTTTCCACAATATACTTACTATCAGACCACTAACAACGACCAACGAACTTATGTTGACGAATATAGTCTGGTTCCCACACTTTCATGGACATCATACTACCACTTCACTAACCCATTAGCACTTACCTTATACAATAACCCAGATGACAATGAAATATGTCAATCTCGACTACACCACCTAACCAGAGCACTACATGAAAAACAATTCACAATCATAGGACTAACGCAACCATTAAATAGGTTTGTTGCACAGAAAGCAAACCGGATCTCAATTAACCATTATGATCACGCCATTGCACGATATATGGAAGAAAAAGTTTTAGAAGAAGATGAAAACACTATTCCCCAAATAACTGAAAAATTTTTCATAAAATCCTAATTTGTAATTGTCATTAACATCATGAACAAAAAAATATAATAATTTTATTTAACAGACACCAAAGCTTATGACTCCCATTTCAAGAAATTTAATCACTTTTCACTAACATTTAATTTCCTCGCACCAAACGATTGTGACTTGCCTTTCTCACATGAAATAATGTTACGCACTAAACAAACCCACACAGACACTTATTATTAATTTATTCAGCACCACTATATAATTAATAAACCAACAAAGCAGATTCAAATGTATTAACTTCAAATATATATCACCATACTTCCTAAACTTCATCTATTGTATTAAAAATTCCAACATGCAAGGCATCCTCCGAAACTATGACCCCATAATACAAATGTATATATTCTGCCCACTAACCAAATGTTTTGATGCTGAAGAATCCCGCCCACTAAATTTCCCCTACGAATATATACAGCCCATCGAAGTCCAAATTCAATAATTCATTCATAATACGAAATACAACCACAAGCTACATAACTTATTTCAAAACACACTGCATGAATTCTCACTCAATAGTGACGAGCACAAAATCGTCCGAACAATCGAGTTTCTAATGCATCTCCTCTAAACTAAATACGTCATCCTCATGCCTGCCAAACTCCTCACATCATTAGACACAATTCGCACTAAATTTCCGCATGGATTTTTTGCCGACGACGACCCTTTGTAAGTATAATAAAAAAATTGAACTAATAAATTTCAATCACTACTAACCATTTTTTATAAATGTCTCACTTTTTTTTTAGATTTCATCATTCAATCATCTAAATCAAATAAAAAAATAAAAAATTGTAATTTCTTTTCAGAAAACTTTCCAAATTCAGTTTAACAATTGCAGTATATAATTGAAGTAGTAAAATTTCCGTTTCCACACCAGTAAATTCAAAAAACCCCACTGCAGGAAATTAAGTTTTCTATGTAGTACATTCATAAAACAATGCAAATAAATAAAAGAGAACTATCCTTTCTACAAAAGTTTGTTTTATAAATTTGAATCCTTCACTCGCCCATAAATCACACACTCTTTCCACAATCGCACAGCTCGCCCACGAAGAATTGTTTATGTAATGAGTTTCAAGTTTCAACTTTCACTGATAACAACTCTAACTTGTTTTCGCACGTTTCAAATTTTCCTTCAACCCGGTTGGAAGGAATTAGGTTATAATCTAAACTAACAAACGCAGCTTACTAACGCCACAAAACCACAAACTAATAGCATGACTAAGAAAGAAAGTCTTACGGTTCCCAAACCGGATTAAACCCACATTAAAACGGGATAAATTATTTTTTTAACAGCCACTTTCAAGTTTTATTAAAAATAAAACACAAAAAAGTCAAAAGACGGACCCAAAACAAATGATTCTACTTATGAAAAAAAACACACAACCGAAACAAAAGAGGAAAACATGTAATGAAATTGTAATAAAAGGTTGAGCTAATAAAGAGACTCTGCACAAAAAGACCATAAAATATAGCCCACTCCTGGTTTCACCAACCAGAGGGACGTCCTGAGCATGCTCGATAGTCGGCCTAATCCACCGCGCTACAACCACGCTTTGTGACCCACACTTTACTTTTGCTGAGAGTTGCTCTAGTGTGAGCGACTCTTTAAAAATAACCAAACTAAAATAAATACGCTTTTGCGATAACAATTAATAATAACTCATAAATAAAACTTAACAAAGAAGAAGTAATTAGATAAATGCAGTATGTGAAGATTTTTTAGAGCCCAAGGAACGAGCAGCAAAGGAGATGGCAACCCGACTACATTCCAACTCTGGAATGGTAAATCTATTTGTTTTGCTGCCAAAGTCACTACCCTCAAACTATTTGAAGTATAGACTCATCATCGCAGCAAAAAAAAACCCATTGAACCAAACCAATAGCCATCTCAATGTTGATTTCACATACCGATCCTAGTCACTTGGCACTTCACAGGGAAAAGACAAACTTCACCCTGCACGTAGTCTTGCTCAAATTTTAATGAAATCGATACATTATTGCATCGATCAGAAGTTTTGACACAATCACCAATACTGCCCTTGATCAACAAGACCCATCTTGAAACACGAAAAAATACAATCTTCTTCCATCTACACAAACAATTACATCTCTCATCTCTCCAAGAAGTCACTGCTCACAACTTCTAAAGAAAACTTCATCACCCGTCCTTCACTACAATAATCAATTAAAAACTAAAAACTTTCTAAACCCCGGATGGGTGCAACCAGTTCTGAACTACTCTTTATAAACCAGTTACTGATGAAACTATCACTATAAAATATTACTAACTAAAAAAACATATTCCATCTCTAACATTGACACTTATTTTTAACTGCTGAAACTATTTGTAGTTTCAGCACAAGAACAATTTGAATGAATCTTTGAATACAGTTGTTTTACTTCTGGATAAAATTCCAAAGAACTAACTCGCGAAAACCATTATACACTACTATTGAGACTAGGAGATATAAGAGTAAGATTAAGATTGGTATTAGACTAAGAAGTTGCACGAATCTATCCGGCCGAAAACAGGATAGCGTGACAAACAGACGGTGAACCTTATCTGAAACTACTCTATGAGTACAGGTAAAAGGTCATAACTCAGCTTAGAAGTTATTAAGAAAGCTGAAGTCGGAGATTTGTATATTTTATTGAGTTTATGTCCTGGGTGGCTCACTCATGGAGTTATTTCAGATAAAGGACACCGTCTGCTCGTCACGCTATCTTTTTTTCCGCCGGATAGATTCGTGCAATTTCTTGTTCTAATACCGATGTTAGTCTTACTTTTATATCTCCTAGTCTCAATAGATCTAGTGAAAACTGGTATTTGCGAGATAAGATATCAGGAACTTTTCTGGAGAAGAACGACTGTTTGCTAAGTTGTATTTATTCTGTTCTGCTGCTGAAACTATGAATAGTTTCAGCCTTACAAATTATTGTAAGTGTTAGTTATGGATCCGGATTGGTTAGAAAGAAATATTTTACAGAGATCGTTTTATCAATAATTGGATGTAAATACTAGTTTTGAACTGTGGTTCCATTATGCCAGAATTTTTTGAGGTTAAGTCATGGGGGCTGTGGTTCGGCCGAACGTATTCAAAATGATAGGCGTTAAGCTAATTACAGAACTGTCGCGTTTTTGAACAACTAAAGCCAAAAGTCCAAAAGTTGAGGCCAGCAAGCAGATAGTTTGATGAATGAAACGTTCATCAACACTAACAGCAAGCAGGTAGCGTTGATGAAGGAGTTAATGAAAGAAATTACACAAAGGAACAGGTACATGAAGCTGGAACGATTACAGACAACAACGAGAAGCTGGATGTTAAAAGTGTACATGTTGTGTTTTGATTGAATTTCCCTGTTTTTATTAAATGCGGTTTTGACTGAAAAAAAAAATTAAAAAATTATTTAGTTTTTTGGTATAAATGATAATTTCTTGAGATTTCAAATACATTTTTTTTGAGAATTAAAACAATTTGCTTCAATAATTAGACTAAGACTTTTAAATTGTTTCATCAAACGTTTTCAAACAAGTTTTAATTTTTTTTTCGCAAAAGCGTCAAAGAGACACAAGTCTACAAAAAAAACAACCTAATTTTTTTGTTGACCAATCAAAACCAAGAAACCGTAACCTGTAATAATTTTTTCTTCAATTTTCTAAGGGGGTCTTCAATTTTTTCTTCAATTTTCTTTTTACCTTTGCGATAAATCAAAATTTTGCAATAAGGTTCTATATTTTTTCTCAGTAACAATATTTTTTTTACAAAAACTATAATTCCAGGGATTCTCCAGTAATAAAAAATTGCCTTATGAGTATCTCCAAATCTAGCCAAGTTGCATTTTAAACAGAGTTTGCATGTTGTTCTGGGTCTAAAGCTAAAATTTTTCAAAATCTTTCTTGTTGGTTTTTGTGGGGTTTATTTGCCAAGTAAATTCTTTTTATGATCAAATTTCTATTTGATTTATAATAAAAAAAGTTGAAGAGCATTCTCGATTGAAATTGAAGAGCCTTATCGTGGTTTGTTTGATTTTTTTCAAGGGAAACATTTTTTGATTGAAACGATATTTTTTGCATGATTTTTCATATTTTTGGTGCGCCTTGTTTTATTTTTAGTGTTTAACTTTAAAGTGTGGAATTAAAGTGTGGAAAAAGAGTTATTTTTTTTGAGTAAATCCAGGAATGCCTAAAAATGACGGCTAAACGTAGTATTTTATTAACTGAAAATGTTTGAAAAAAAAAACCTTCTTATCGGGAAAATTTTGATTGTTTTTGTGACTTGACTGCTCTGTCGACCAAAATATTTTGCGGGTGATGCACAAGATGCAATTGTAAGGGTTATCAAGAATGATATGCTCTTTTTCCCTCGGCTCAATGGCCAGAGGGACTATTTTTGTGATTTTTTTCCTCAATCAGTCGCGCAGCCAGTTCGTTACGGGCTTTGACTGATTGATTCGTTATCATGCAGGCCATTTACTTGGACACGAAAATTTCGGATTGCTACCTCTTAGAGGCCATTGCGGCCACTACACAAACAACCTTCTCTTCTAGAAAAGCATAAATAAGTTTTGCTTATAAGTTTTCGGACCGACAGGTCACTTCACTGAGAAAACTGTCCAGTGGTTCACAAGAATAAGCTGCTTTTGGTACTGCGTTCTGGAACGACTCCTGTTGTTCTCCATCAGGAACGAGACAAATCTTTTGTATTAGTAATAATAATAGTCCATTGCGAGCCGGTAGTTTTGTACTATTCTAAACTTGCTAATTTTTCGAGATC